GATTGCAATATTGATTGTCGTACAGCATAATCCAAGAATACTCCGATAATGCCAGAATGCCGGCTTTCAAATGAGCCTCTTTCCAGCCGTTTGCAAAAACCGCACTCCGCGACAAATGGCTACCTATGTGGCACGAATTTATCCCTTGATTTTCGATCCCTTTGCAAATTTAAACAAATTGTCTAGAAAAGATGCATATGAATATTTATTCCCGTACTCATTTGGTAGAAAAATACGTCTTCTTCAAATTCTTTACTTGAAGAAAGGGTATCTTTAGGTTTTAAAAAAGTCTGTAGCTGTGACACTTTTTAGAATATTCTCTGGTCTATCCGTTTACAATTAGTTCTTAGGAAATAAACCTAAGAGCTCACATGCATTGCAAAAGTTTATGAACACCGTACAATATATTCTTAAGGGCATAGGGAAATATGTGATTATCCTTACGTGGAAAGCATACAGCTTATATTTTATAAACGCCAAACACAAATGTGGCGACTGCCCAAAGATATCCTTCTTCGAATAAAAAATCAAAGACATCATTTAGTGCCGAAAAAGTACAAGGAAGGTTATTATTGTACATGTTTTCTATAAAATGTGCTTGCATTTATAAGGACTACGAAAATTGATTCAAAATGCATACTGCTTACGTAATCATTTTAGTGACTGACTTTTACAGGCGACCGGAAAATAAGGGCATTTAGAAACCGGCATCCTGGCGTGATTGAAATATCCTGCGACTATGCCGAAGGATAATCAATATTACAATCCTATCTGAGTACTCCTTTCTAACCAAATACATCTTTCAGAATTCTACTTAACATTTTATGAGATATATCACCTACCGTGTTACTTTCACAAGGCGATTTCGCCGGACTTACTATCTGCCGGCCACTGCTAGTTGAGTTTAGCAATAAATCTCAGAGCCCAAATGTACTGAACCTGGCGGCCACCTTACAGAAGCAGCATCCCCTCCCCGATTGGATTGGGTAGTTAGTAACTCGTAGGAAATCAAGACGGAGTAAGTAAACGCAGACCCGAATTTGGTTAGTGACGGTTACCGCACCTTCGGGAAGGACTACAATGAAAGTCGCTTTGAGGGAAGTTGTGACCTACAGTACGTGACCTATCTCATGAAATTTGATAACGGAAACTAATACAATAATTTCTGGACGTTTTTAACGTCGCGAATTTTGTTCGCTCATCCACATCCTTTAATAAAATGTCCTTTTCCTGTGCAGAAATTGTGTTTACGTAATTATACCAAGTAAAATATCAGAAAACTTGAGCGAAAATGGACGGTTGAATATATTTGCGCAAGTTCTTATGCAAATGCATGCCCTATATTACGGATACGCATCCGAGCGACTTTTTCATTGAAAGGATGGTAATTTACCTGCGAGAGTTTTAATAAACAGATTTAACCGAACTCGAAACTTAACTTTATGTCCGATGTTAACCGTGGTAATCAACCTGCTAAAACAAAGGTTATTTTAAGAAAACCGGAGGGTTTATCAGTCTCTAAAAGTGAAATTGGCAGATCGGCGCGATTTGGTGCACTAAAGTGCAGTAATAGCGCAGATAGGGATTCCTTCGTTTGAATGGGCTGAAACTATTTGCCGTTTGGAAAATTCTACCTGATGTCACATAAATGACCACCACCGAATGGTCATTTTCAGTTTTGAACATATGGAACACTACTTGAGTTTAATTTCTGTACATACCTTATTCAGAAATAGAACGAACAAAACATCAATAGTTTCAACAAAATATCAGTATATGGGCGCTCTGCCGAAGAAGAACAGAGTCTAAAAGTGAGCAAAAACAGTGGAAATGGCCTTAATATATAGAGAAGTGCATGTCCTTACGTTTACGGTAAAAAAACAGCATTGTTTATGAACGTGAGAGAAACGGCCAAATGGTCCAATTTTTACTTGGCTTCACTGTGAAGAAATGCAAAGTACACAGAGATCCACCAACGGAGTGCAGTAATAAGGCACTTCTTAAAGAGGTAACTTATTAAGGAAAATATTTTATTGATCGAAGGCACATTCGTAGTTGGCTTTCGTTGTGAACAGCCATTTCTCTCGAAAATGAAGTTTGATGTTTGAATGAGTCTTCACATGTGACCCAAACGACCATCTTCGTGAAAAGGGGCACCCGAACATTCACTAATTCAGTAAATGCCTTCAAGAATAATCTTATTTTGAAGTTCTCAACAGACAGGTGATTCATAGTCTGTCTTTATGGACGATCGGGTAAAAATACTGAAAATTATGAAGTATTCAGCAACATTTTACCGATATCATTTACAACTGAATGTGTTTGAGTTTCGGTCCTGCATTTTCAATGAACATATTATGTCAAGTGTATGTATTACTGACAACATTTTAGTACCGTGTGTGTTTAAAGTTGCATATTGCATGTACCGTTTACAATAGGATTTTCAGAGGCATTGCCTATTACCCTTAAAATATACTGACCTATTTCGAAGTCGAGCTGAAACTCAACGTAATCCAAAACGAACGAAAAGTGTAAATTAATTTAACGGAAGAAGAGTTTTCTCTATAAACACAACATGGTATGTTTACGAAGGAGGTTGTGACCTATATGCTATCTTCTACCTGACTTCCACCATACTCGGCTTCTCGAAAATCTCCCAAAGTAAAATAAAGTAGGTTTTAGAGGTTTTTATATTCAGTGGTCCGCTACCTGTGCCCCTAAAATGGGCCGCGCTATTGATGAATTGGAACAACATGGGAACTAGACCAGAGTCCGACAGACGTTATCCAGAATGCGCACACGTAGTAAGTGGCTATATTGGGGGGCCGGTGGCACGCCCATTTGTCGGTTCACCCCGCGGCAATTGGGATTCGTTCCCCCTCCCCCTCCTGGTCAGTGTACGTTGTGAACCGGAGGATGTGATGGTACGCCAAAGTGCGGGTTGACGCCGTGCCAGCCACCTGCGCCCTCTGCCGCCTCCGGTCTTCTTGACTCTGTCTTGACACCGGGCCCAGGCGGAGGATAAGGAGAAAGTGCGGTAGACGCTGTGCAAGTCTACTACCACTATAGACTAATTAACGTGCAAGTCACCGCCCCTGCCTGCTCTCACTGTGGTATGCAGCCCACGGTGGACATCGTCGATCACGACGGTCAAACACTCGGGATCGGGTACCACGTTTAATCATCTACCTTAACTCAAAGACGCAATCTGTCAGGTTCGTGCCGCATAGTGGCGTTGAGCAGTCCAGAGGCCATAATCACTTGGGAGTCGGATGTTTTGGTGGTTAGTTGCATAGCTTCAAGCATCATCGAACGTGTGCATAGTACGCGCATTTTTCAGTGAAAATTACTTGGATCAGGAAGCGAATGTCTCCATGCACATAATAAACAAAATGAGCCATATTAGGAATGCGTAATGAATCAAAAACATCAATACTGTGGCACACCTATCACAGAAATGGTAAAACAGTTCCGACATCTACGTGGAATCACATTCCACCCTGATTATGCCTCACGTAGGTGTTGCGATTATTTCCCCCCACGAAAATCCCCCATAAGTGAATGAGACGTTGCACGAAGCTCCCTTATCTATTTCTTGAACACATGCCTAGTTTATACAATTTTGTAAGTACCCACAGGAATGAGGAGTGAGGACCATGTTAGAAGGAAAGGTCAGAGTACGGATCATAAGTTTGTTATTCACATTTTACATTTTGATGGGAAGCACATGTTGTCTTTTGTGTGTCAGACAGGAGAGCCTAAGGATCTCCAACTGAGGCAAGCGAACTTGCTTCATTGGTTGGTCCAAAACTTTCCAATTATTATTCCTATGCAAGGTACATAGTTGTAAACAGTTACTTCAAATCCGAAGGTGAACTCACATAGAAAAAATCGGGAGAAAGGTAATCGCAACTATCAGAAATTAGAGTAACGGATTACCTTTGACGGTTTTTGCCGAAATTTTCGCTTAGGTCGTTGATGCTTGTTTTCGGCGCTATTCAAAGCACCCACTGCGCATTTTCGGGCTACAGATGAGGCAGGATATGGAGGTTAGGAAGAATTTCTAAAGTATATCATAGAGAAGGTAATGCGAGGGGAAAAATCCGTCGTGCATAGAAGGCCCTGAGTTTACGGATACAGGAAAAGAGCATTGCTTATCAAACAAAAAACAAACGAAAAAGAACCAATGGACAACGGTTTCAGTAACAAGGGTCATTGACACCTCCGAAAGAGCCTATATGTATATTCTTTGAAAAAACTTTCCGACCGCCTCTACTCAAGTATTTCCATAAGCACAAAGAACATCAAGCACCTTGTCACCATTTATCAGTAATCAACAGTATAACGTCCAGTCCAATTAAGGTAGACACCCCTGGGAGAAAATGATGGTTCGAAGCCTGATGGCAATGAAATCCGAGTCGCAATCCGACAAGCAAATCATTTAAAGGCTAGTACTTGATTGGTTGTAGGTATGCCTTGAGATCCTGGCATTTACCTGAGTAGAAAATGCACATGCTGAGACTTGTCAATCTAGTTCAATACGTGATTCAAAAGGCGGACATTTTCGAACTCCATAAGAATTTGGAAAGATTTCGACTGTCGTTAAGGAAGTGGAGGAAGTATGCATTGACTTATTTTACTCTTCCTCCGAAAAACCCACCTGACATTTCGGGCTCCTTGAACTAATCTAGTCCTTTCCATCAAATTTTTTCATAACTTCTGTCCGAGCTCGTTATTTATTTAAAACTTAGCAATTCGGAATTTATGGATATGAGTATCATATGCATTTTGTGCGAGATGTCAAAACTCCACCGGACGTTGGTAATTTTTCCAGCTTCATGAAACTCACTTTCCAGCGTTCATTGTACGGTCGCTTCCTCAATCGGACTTCCAAATCGGCATCAATATGTAAATGTTCGCCATTTATCTAAGCGTTGCTTTTTCATCGGCAGCGGCTTCTGCCCTCTTAAAAGTGAACATATAATTTCTTGCACGATTTCGCCCAAAGACATTGTTTTAGTGGCGTGCTTCGATGGCATAATCTGCCCTAACTTAGTGGAAATTTAATGAACCTGTGTTTGAACATATCCAAGCCGAGTATTTTGATTCGATTGTTCTTACAATGTATGGTGGAACAATGTAACATTCGCCAGAAATAGTCATGAGGGCGACATAGCGGAGACTCATTAAGAAGGATCTAGCTCATTATATATGCTTCTATTTTTCAATCCACACAGTTAGATCGGAATTGAAGACAAAGTTTTTGCATCTAGCCCCTTCAATAAACAATCATACTGGAACATTACCGACAGGGTTTTATGATGAAAATATATTCAAAATTTACATGCACCCATCTTGGTTTGAGCACAGTGGATGAAGTAGTAGTTTCAATGACAAAGGTGATGCGTGAAGTATCTTGTCTCTGCGTACAGAAAGGTCAGATATAGTACTCCCTGTCGCGGGCCTTTATAGACCCCCTTTCTGCAATAACAGCCACTGCCTCATGTGGTCTAATCAAAGCTAGTCAGGCGACAAATGCAGACACAAGGGCGTAAATTATGGCTCTATTCACCTCCTTGCCTAGATGCTGACCGAAAGTCCCTGCGATAACTTATTGTTCCACCAGTTTTACAGGCGTTATATCTAACCTAAGGAAGAACGTCCCAAGTGGACGTCAGCACATTTTTTCAGGACAACAACATAATGACATAAATAGTTAATGTCTATTTCTGAAAAAAAAACAAATTGTGTCCTATGTGAAAACTGACTTCAGAAGAGACGCTGAGCAAGACCAATGATAGTGCCCACAGTACAGCAGCCCCCTGTTAACTACGGAAGTCGTGCGATTTATTCTCAGCTTGGCAGCGTTCATCCAGATGTATTCTACCAACTTGCCAACACATAAACAGACGCTACTGAACTATGCACAGTAGTATTGGAATAGTAACAAATTGAAAGAAAAAGGTGTCGAAATGGCGTAGGCTGCATAGAGTTGTGGTGCGTAATGCTATGCTGACCCAGCTTCCCACTAAAAGCGTCTACAGATGTGGACGTAACGACATCCACAGGGAGAGCATTTCAAGCTTCAACCACATTTTGAAGAAGAAACTCCGTTTGTCCAGCCGCCCCCCAGTCACATATATTTCGAGTAGATACATCCGCAGGTCCGTTGTAGATGTTAACTCGAAGGGTCTCCAGGTGTAAGACAGCAGTCTCGACTGCACATGATGCGCAATGCTTGCACCAGGTTGATTTGTATTTGTCTGTCAATAAAAGGAAAAAGGTAGAGATGGATAGTCGTGCTTCACAGGGCAGTGAATCCAGGACAATTACAGGTTTTTTGAAGTTTTTGAACTTTTCGAGGATGATGATGTCATTTGCAGTCCAATGTTTCCATGCTTCGACAGAAAACTTTAGCCGCAACCTTTCATACGTTTGAAGTGCTGACGAAGCCGTCTTAATCAGAGGTAGAGAAAGTCCGCTTGAGAAGATACAGAACTGATATTGCAGACTTAGCTTCTTTTGAACAGTTCAGTGATGGTTTGAGTGAAGTAATCCAAACACCCAAGTTCATCTGAGCGTCTGCTCCTTGCAATGGCATTTCATACAAACGACAAACCCTGCGGTTTAGAGATCTGATTCCATCGACTTGTAGAATGGTGTAAATGCTCACATTAAATGACAAGAACCAGTGATTCGACAATTGCTCAAGTTGGTATGGATTTGGCTGAAAAACTCTTCGTCGATTTCAGTTCAAATGTTGCTCCAGAGCATGAAGTCGGCTGCAGCCACGGCGAAATGATAATAAAATTCACTGACGCGATCGTTAGCGTACGTAAAGAGCAATCCAAAGTGCAACCTCCACCAAATCTTGGTCAGAGACATGGACCGTTAGGGAGCAGCCGATCAAAAAGTTTCGGATCCACTTCAAGGGACTACGCCTAACGTATTTACGGCTGGGTTTGCATAAGAATCACTGATTTGGCACACAGTCGAATGTCTTTTAGACTCGACACAAACAGCATGTACCGCCCTTCCTTAACAAACTGCTGGAGTCCAGCACTCTAAACAGTAGGTCGGGTTTTTCGCATAAAACCGGCCTACCCTTAATCGCTACTGGCCATCAGATGGTAGAATATGCTGCTTTAATAAACGCACTAGTATTCGTTTAATTTTTTCATGTTTTTGAGGAAGATCAAAGTGGCGCTGATTGGTCTGTAGCTGACTGTGGAGAGCTTGCGACCGTCTTTATATAGCGGCGTAATGCGTGCAGATTTCCAGTCAACGGGTAAACAGCCGACTTCGAAACGGGCTGTGAAAAGCATTGAAAGCGGTTGATTAGTATGTCAGCGATCCCTTCAGGCAACTTTGAAGATATGTCAGTTGGACCCAGTGATTTTGACACATTCACTCTCCAAAACTCTTAATAAGCAACCGTTTTAGGCGAAAGATACAGTCCCAACAGCGGAACTTCCGTTAACTCATGTTCGGAAGTGGTAGATTCCCCTCCACTAACAATGACGGACTTAATAGTTTTAAAGGGCATCCGTATTCCTCTCCATCCTTACTACTCTACAGTGGGGACATGGGACGCCTGATTAGGCTACTCCTCCTTATGCAACCGTAAAATAAATTCAGATCCCCCACGGCACGATTCAGCAAACCTTTTTCGAACTTTGGCGTTTTCTGTGGATAAGTGGCCTGACGAGTCTCTCTGCACTTTGTAACTATCTATATAGACGCAAGAGATTTATTCAACAGCTCCAATTTTTTAACCCACTTCCATTTTTGAAGCCTGTGCCAGCTAATAAAGTCCGTTGTTCAGTCTCTTTCGTGAAAGGGGCAGCGGTTTGTAGAAGGATGTGCGAATGCTCACTGAAGCATGCCTAATTCTGAACTACGTTGGAGTAGAAAGCCGATTCCCAGCATGCGTTGTTTATTTAGGGTTTCCTTCGATCGACGTCTGTGAACAAACTGTTTCTTCTAACTCAAACAGACTATTGGGACGCTGAAAAGGCGCCATGCTCCAAGAGCAGTATGAAGTAGCCTCTTCGGTCTGGAGGAAGTCGACATTACACCTCATCAATGCCGTCTGGCGATTTTGTGAGTGCAGAATTCAGGTATTTCGACTATTTTCTCTCACATGTCGCAATGGAAAGCAAGACGTGGTGACTATGGAATAACCTGAGCTTTATATATATATATATAAATAGAAGGTTTTTTTTTCCTGTGTTATATGTAATCTCCGGAAGTACTGCACCGATTGCGATGAAATTTGGATACAACACAGCCAGCGCATAGGGCCGCGTTGTTGTCTGTTCAATTGTGCAATTATGCCGATGGTATGCCTGTGATGGGTAAAAAACTGGATCTTTCCGCCATAATAACGCCACCTGCTGCGGCCACTTGACCCACATCCGCGCGGACACATGTGCGCCCAGACTGTGGCCACTTGACCGACATTCGCTCAAACGCACGTGCTCCGCCCCACAGCCACGCCCACCCCATCACACACCCCGCAGGCACTTGAGCAGGCCCTCCACCCTCTCTGGGCAGATGCAATATGAGCCGCTAGAGCAAACCACCCCTGGGGCAAAAAACACGCAACACTTGGACGTCAACCAAAATTGTCCCACAGCCCACAAAATAGGGCCGTCACCGCTGCCTCGGGAATTCTCGGGAGAGAGGACTGGATGCAGGTAACACCAGCGCCTGCCCCCCCCCGAACAACCCGCATAATGGGGCTGTCGCCAAATGTCAGCTCAGTATTGTGTAGCTCGGCTTGCGGAAGCCCGGTTGCGGTCACGGCTACCGAGTTCCGCAGCTTCAGGCCTGCTTCGTTCACAACAGGATAAACACAGCCAACTGGGAGTGGCCGAATGGCGCCAGCGAGGAACAGCGGACCAGCGTTAAACACGACTCCGTGCTCGGCGTTCACGCAGCCTGATGCTGTTGTAAGCGACGGTACGACAACAACCGTTGGGAGACTAATGATATTAGGGTAAGGTGATACCATATATACTGGCAGTTGGAGACCGATTCCAACCCAACATCAATTTACTTAACGGGATGGTACCTATGGATATCATTTCAACGTTAAGATGATAAATCCAGTCAGTGACGGGCTAACGCACATGAAATGCAGCGCAATGAACCACTACTCCTACCGACTTATTATACGACAGAATGCAAGTAATCCCCCTTTGAAATGCCGTAAATTGCTTCATTACTGCCTTCTGAATATGTATTACGCAAAATCTAAACTGGACGCCTACTTTCATTCGCCTAAATCAGAACAAGCTGCGCTCTGAAGGATACATTACTTTGCATGATGCATTTGTAAACAACGGTAATAAAACTAACGTTGTAAGACTCCAGTTTTTGCCGTCCACATACACAGATAGTCTACGCCAGATGTTCGAGTACGCGCGAGGTGCAATTGCTTACGTTTGTCCGTACGGACGTCCAGACCTACTCATTACATTCACTTGCAATCCAGCTTGGGGGAGGTTTATGAGCTCTTATCTCCTGGGCTAACGACGGTAAATAGGTATGACATCACAGCACGTGTTTTTAGGAAGAAACTGAAATCTTTGATGAACTTCATGATGAAACACGCGGTAGTTGGGTCTATGCGCTGCTGGATGTATTAAGTGGGACGGCAAGAGAGGGGACTGCCTCATGCACATGTCCTGATCTGGCGCTATAGCAAGTTTGGTTCCAACGAAATCGACGACGCAGTATGCGCCGAATTACCTGAGGCCGACGTTGACAAGGAAATGCAGGAAGTCACGACGAAGAAAACGATCAGGAGAAGACGTCGGTAAATTGGCAACCGTACGAATGCAAATCGGTGACGTACATTCGGTAACCGCTGGGTTGTTTCGTATTCGCATTTTCTTTTAATAGCAAACGAAGCTCACTTAAACGTGGGAAGCCGCAATTTTAGGAAATTAATTCGGTTCATTTGTAAGTACGTGAATAAAGGCAGGGATATGGTCGGTTTCGGCCTGCAACACGAAACGAGAGAGAGGGATGTGGACATACAACTCGATATAATCGCGCAGTACTGTTAGAGAATGATCAATGCGTTTACTTTCAGCTGCAAATGTGCAACAGGTTGCCTTATGTCCACCGGCAACAACAGTAACTGCGTTATTCTCGTTAATCCAAAATCACGCGTTTGCAAAAACACTGCCGCATTCGAAAGTGCCCAAGTATTACACAGGGAATGCATGTTGAAGGCATCTTGGGTCTAATACGCAAGGACAAATCGAATGTGGATTTCACAGCAGAAAATCTACAACGAGGTGTTAATGATGATTAGGGATTTGTGCATAGAAATTACGGGCAAAGTCCACAATCAAATGGGAAAGCCATCATCAAAAGCGATCTGCTGCTGCTTCGTTAGACGTGGATTTACGTTGTAGCAGATCTACAACAGGGTTGATCTTCTGTCGTATCTGCAATCAAGCATTCCTAAGCTAACACTGGAGCAGGATGGTATTTACGTTCAAATAATGCGGACTGTCAATAGCGGGGTAGGAGTAATCTTCTTGGATGCACCAGATAGGGACTGGCAAAACGTTCATACTACGACAGATTCTGGCAGCACTTCGATCCGAAATTAACATAACCTTGGCTCATACGTCGTCCGGAATAGCTGCTACCTTGCTACCCGGTGGACGAACTGTTCATTCGGCTTTTCAATTGCCGTTGAACGTGCAATTCATTGGAACTCCTACGTGCGATATTTCGAAGACAATCGGCATGGGAAAAGTACCGCAAAATGCAAACATTTTATTTGGGGTGAATTCACAATGGCACACAAAAACGCTCGAGGCCCTTGACCAATCATTCCAAGACTGGCATGGAAACAGCATACCATTTGAAGACGCCTTACTACTGTTTGCAGGAGACTCGGGCAAACACTGCCTGTAGTTCCTCCATCGACACCAGCAGACGAAATAAATGCCTGTCTGAAATATTTTTACGTCGTGGCGCCACCCCCAGACGTTAAAAGTAACTACGGATATGCGTGTCCAGCTGCAAAACCACCAATCAACTGAGGTATTCTCACAGTAATTGCTGGCAATTGGGAATGCAACGGTGCCGGCTGATCCAACTACAAGAAGGATTTCCCTACGTCAGCCTCGGCAATTTAGTTTCCTCAAAAGAGGATTTGATTTTAAAGGTTTCTCCCACTATTTAGACCACTCTCAACAATCACGACTGATTGAGCGAACGAGCCATTCATGCGACCAAAAATAAACACGTTTACCATCTTAACCATATTATTCAGTCTAAGATTCAAAGCGAGGCAGTGACATATACGTCCGTCGACAAGCAGACGAGGCTGATTAATTATCCAACAGAGATTTTGAATTCACGTGAGCCACAGCAACGCGTGGCGGGCCCGGCTAGTTTACGATAAACGTCGTTCAAGGGTTAGTTCTGGAGCGGGTACGGGAATTCAAATCCAGTCGATAAGTGGTGCAGTAGAATCATTGATGATCGAGGCGTCAGGCTAAATAGAAAACTGTTTGAGTCATCCAGTAGACTGGTATCGACTTCATAATCACATTTTGGTAGTCGATAGACCGTCAGAACTTGAATGCTTTTCAGTCTCTTAACCTTTTGGTGAACAAGAAACATTATTTGTTGCACGTGAGCTTTTCTACTTTCTTTCTCGACACAAACAGTCCGTGCTTTACGTACGTGAACACTCTTCCTATCTGACTCCCTTTCCTATCTGTTATCAAATGTAGAATCAGGACAATGTCATTTTGCTGTTATCCAAGTTCTCAGACAACCATTTTACTGTCAGAAAGGTGCCATCGAGTGAGAAGTCACAAATGTTGATTTTGACTTCATCGAACGTATGTGATATGCTCTGTACGTCGTTGTAAGCAAATGAGTTTAACATTTTTGAAGTGCTTTTATTACAGCGCAGAATGAACACTCAGTCAATGAATTAAGCGGGTCTTCATCCGAACTAATTGCATCTAACGGAATGTGGGAGAGTACTGTGTTATTTAGTTTTCGCAAGGCATCATATTTTCTTCCCGACTGGTGATGTGAGTAAAGTTCCAGAATTTATTATCGACGTTTCATCATGTCTGCCGGTATGCGTTCTGGTGGCAAGGGAATCTGCTGGCGTGAAAGAATAAATTTAGCTTGTTCCTGACTTACCAGATACATAGGTTCATTAATGAAACCTTGGAAGAGTCATAGGTCTCTTGAGACTCGTGCTCTGGAACCATTGGCTGTAGATTCGAAAAGTACCGGAATTAGTTGGCATTGCTCTCTGCTCGACAAATATCATCTAATCGCAGTGATTTCGAGCTCAGAGCAAACTGACATGTAGTCGACGCAAACTGCCGATTATAGAGGTCGCATTTTACTACACTCTTAATTCCACTGCTTTGCACAGAGATGAATAGTCCGTTTTTTTCATTTGTGAAATTCTTTGAGAAACGCCGGTACCTGTTAGTCTCATTGTCTAAATCAGTATTTTTTCGTCTTCATGAAGATTCCATGTTGCAGGCAATACTTTTACATAAATACACATCTCTAGCACCTCCATTGTATACTACTGTAGGTGTCAAGTTCTTAACCTCGGGATTTTATAATTAAACAGATATTGGTAGATAGGCAGCAACATAGACACAGGTCCTCGGAGCTCCGAGGAATTCTTAAAATATTGTCTCCATCTGAAACTGTTGACTAGATCCCAAGCAAGCCCTCTATAGTGGCTAGTTTCGCTTTCAACTATGAGGGACTCCTGAAAAAAAATCATGGTCATTTACACAACATTCAACGTTTTAAACTTTACTTGAAAAGTATTTATAAACATGGGATTTGTTTAAACCGTCTGATTTTTGACCAAACGGGGGAACTTGAAAAATGAAGGCTTTAGCGCGACTGATTAGGGATGATTCGTCGAAAACTGAAGTAAATATAAAAAAGATAACGCATTGTCCAGGATGGGCAAAAGCCCCAAGGTACGTCATCTGTAATTTTGCGGTGGATTGTTTAAAGGTTTTCAGCCTGTGGGATTCACCCGAAAGCCATGCCGCCAATGTGGGTTGAAACGCTCAGAGGGGTAAATATGGTTTAGTTAAAAAAACTTTCCCAATTTTCTTTTTAAAAAATTAAAAAAGATGTAAAGAATAATTTATTGTCAGTCTTGGTTAATTACAAAATGAAATTTAAGTTACTGAAATTGCTTCAATCGATTGGCATATAAACTAACATTTTCAAATACTCCAATAGGTTTTATATCGCCATAAGTTGAAGTTTGAACTTTCAGTAATGTACGCAAACAGATTCAATATAAAAATCTGCCAAAACAACTGAATATCAAAGAGACATTTTAAGTACTCTCAAGTTAACTTGAGAAATTTAAGTCGTAATTACGACGAAAGCTTTCATCACGAATGATATTTTATGACATTTACTAACTGAAACACGCTTTCCCACCTTCACTTAATCGGTTTTTCGGAAAGTCAATATGCGCCTTTCTGAAACAATTGAATTCACATAGACCCAGTTAATTCGTAAGCCACTTCGGTTGTCTTTTCAAGGACAGACAGATATCTTTCTGCAGAACTGGACTGTATACAAAGAATATCAAAAAGTAACTTAAAAAGGCCGACATAAAAACTCAAAACATCTGAAAAAGAAGGTATTTTATATGCTTATGATTGGCAATTTATCAAAATGCAGGCTAACGCATTGATAGTCCAGGATTTCAATATGCAAGTAACTGGGCGTAGATTGTCAGGATGTCTTAAGTATGATATAATCAATACATATATCAAACATAAGTAAAATTTTATTCCAAACTCCGAAATATTGAATAAAGTCATTTATTTAAAAATTGTGGATTATAAACTGCCCTCCATTGCAAAACTCAGAAACCAGTTAATGCTTCTTACTAATTTTCAACACCATTTTTTTACTAAAATAAAATAAATAACCACTACTTGCAAATATGCTTTGATACATAAGCATCTGGTAAATAGGCAGGTTTTAATAATAAATAATACTTACCAGATGTTTGGGTAAGTTAGTAATACTAACCAATGCAAAACAGGCAAATACATTTCCCTTCATTTGAAATTTAAAATACGCACAAGATAACCTTGCTGATGAAGACATCCTTAATTATTTACTCGTTCGGAAAAAGTTTACGCAGAAATCTGGCGTGCGACGAACATCATTTAAAAAGTCTCAACCAAACAACAAAAGTAGGCGCCTGTAGCGGCTACTGCTTAAGTATTGATTCATAAGTAGAACTTACCAGCACGCACCAACTACTGATTTCATGGTTGGCCGACAGCTGAATTTTACAGAAAAATTTAAAAGGCGCTATTTTAACCCCTTAAGTAATCATGACTGGAAAACACACACTTAATCCTTTTAAACGACGAGCTTTTTGGAAGGAATTACTAGTTGTTGACTTTAAGAAATATTTACTAACCGAAACGACGTAATTTCAGACGAGAACCGGCTTTCTCCAGCAGTATAGCAGCTATAGATCTTTTACACGTTGACCGGGAAAGATGATTTTACTTCATCATTTTATCACTTGCCATCATTGAAGGTAAAGGTGAAGTTGACTGATTTATACGGCGTTACTTTTATTTGCTTAGACTGCGCTTGTCAATTGCTGTCCTTAAATAACGTTCGCAGAGTGAATATAATACGGTATTGTCTAAACTGTAGATAGTTTCGAAGCATGAGAAACAAACCTAAAATTTGAGCGTTAACATTTGTTTGTAAATATGTTACCGTTTTTTGTAACTTTCTATCTTGTACATCAGGTGCGACTTTTGGTGCAATAAACTATGAATTTCTTTCTAAAAATGCTAAAAAGTTCCATAAAATAATCCAAGGAGATTTTCACTTTCTCGAAAACCCACAATATTTAAAGCCCGTGGAACTTATAGGTTTTCTACTTAATAAACTAGTGAAGAATCAAAATTTTTACCGGTTTTACTACAAATGCTATGCCGTTGTTCATAAAACGTAATATCAAATATGTATGAATGTGCTTTATAAGCAGAATTAAAAAACTAGTGAGTGGTGAAGCAAATTCTCATAAAAGTTTATGTCTCTTGAAGGATTCCAGGAGGGAGCTTTTCTGTCCCAGACCAGTAACTATGTTATGGTATAAGATAAACTCTCTGACAGACAATTACCTAGCCCCCTGAAGCCCCATGTTACAGTCGGTGACCTATCTCAAGAAATGTCAATTTAAATTTTGAAAAGTGTTTTCGACTAGGAAGAATTACTTAAGTCGAATTGCATTATTGCCTATCATGCAAGATAACCCCAAAATATTCGAATCATGCCAGAATAAGGCATTAAAAGCACCTCTTTTCGGTTGTTTGCAAAACTCGTACCCAATAAAAATGACTATTTAACTAGTAAGATTTGTTTCAGATATCTTTACAGAATCAGATATATTTACTTAACAAATGGCAAAAAATATGCTTTTTTATGCTCATTCACTAGAAAGTCACGTCTTTCTTCAGTGTTATCTGAAAAAATGGTATTTTAGTTTTAAGAATGCCTGTCATTACGAGACGTATCGAGACTGAAGTGTCACCAAAATAGCATCATATATGTCTGTGTAATAATATTTCTTATGCAGTAAACTACACAGTGCATACCAGTTGTTAGATTTCATTAAGCCTATATGTTACAGGGCTTTTGTTCTACATAAAGTGACCGTTTGACTTGAACATATTCTTTTATTGTGAGGAATGTGTTATTTTATAATATCCCCACCTTTCAATCAGTATTTCGGTTGGTGGATTTACAAATTTCAGGAAATAGATAGTGCCTTGTTTTTCATGGATCAGGGTGAGATTGTGTTCCATAAACCACGTTATTAACTACCACCACTATCATTGCCTTTGAATAAAACGTGCCTATCTTCAGGGGATCTCAGTTAAAGAGAAATTATTTGAAGAGTTTACCGATCTTTTGTGGCATGTATACGTGTGTTACTGAATGGTTCTTTTTTTCTTAAAGTTTCCTTTTTGCATTCACAGGAACACACTGGGGAATTCAAGTACAATCCCCAGGTCACCTCCTGCAAGGATAAGGGCTCTAAACATCGTTCGAAGATGCCCTACATTCAGTTTAGCATAAGACAAGATAGACACAAACAGGAGCAGAGTTCGAATCCGCCATTCATGCCCGTACCTCAGGGCGAGACTGCTGCAACCTCCAGCGCTTGGTACTCAAGGGATTCGCAGCCACTTGGGAACGAGACAAGCCAAAACAAGGAGCCGAGGTGTCTGTCGGGGCCAGCGGTCGCCTTTGGATCGAAGGCTCCGCGTTTCCCGTCCGATGGCAGGGGAGTCAGTGTAAATAAGTGTTCTAATTCTGTCTCTAATACACGTGAAGACTATTGGCTGTTATTTTGAAGCTGCTCCTCAAAATTCTGCCAAAGTGGCTACTTGTGTCAATTCTTTCGGGAATAAGTTATGTAAACGTGTCAATTAGCCCACGCCTAGCAAACGAACAAACGATGGATATGACTGCACAACACACTTAGGAGCTTGCTTACGGACTGTAAACCCCAAAGCAAAGAAATAACATGCATAAAATGCATCATCAGTCAAATTTGCAATGATAAGTCTGCCGAATATTCATTATTTGGGAATCATGCCCTAGAAGTTGAGTAGACGAGTGACACATCAACTTATCGACTTGGAGGATTTTCGTTGGCCCCATAATTTTTTTGCATAGGATGTGGGAATCGACTTCCACCCGCTTGGTATATCATACTGGCAGAAGGATATGACGACAGACAATTAGCCAAAGTCCACTGTTGGACCATGGCCAGTACATGTTTATTTTTATCCGGAATAACATGTGTTTCGGATCATTCTCGTATATTTTCACAGGCATAACTAAAGCTGTTCCAAGGGACGACACTCGATCGTTATTTACTACTGGCTTTTCCCGAATATTGCCTGAAAAACTGCGGAACAAAACTTCCAGCAAGGACTTTTTAAGTGTTTCTTAAGCATTATTGAATCAAAGGAGTTCAGGAGAGTTTTCACAAATTGAATAATTTAGTCGCAATCACTTGCTGTACGCGAGCGTAATGCTTATATACGTATGTTTATTGTGTTTGCTATGCTTTGCATCCTCTTATTAGGTTATTCATCATCCATTCGGTAGATCCTGAGGTTTTGTTAGCTTCCACTTTCTGCTGCAACTTTTGGCTACTGCACCGTCT